ACCCAGCCCGACCCGTATAATAAAATATAAAAAAAAAAGGCGGGCTCAAACCCGGCAGTGGGCCAACCGGTCCCGGCCCGGCCCGGCCCGCCGGGACCAAAAAAAAACCGTGACCCTTAACCGGACCGGATTGGCCGCGGTCGGTACCGGTACCGGGCCGGGCCGGGCCGGTACCGGGTCACGGGTCGGGCCACGGGCCGGGCCGCCCGTGGCCATGTCTATGTGTGCGCAAGTTAACTGCAACTTGCAGAAACCCTAACTCATGCAGATCGTGTGTGAGTGACGACTGAGGGGGTGATTGTTTACCATTTGTACAGTAATTTTTTTTACTCAAATTCAAATTTAACTCAACTTTAATTCAACCACACTATCTCCAATATTATTATATAATTAAATAACATCAACAAATCATTATTACATATCACATCAACTTTAATTCACTATTCATCTACTCACATAATTTTAACTAATTTTAACTAACTATCACTTCCAATCAATTTCTCTTACTTCTACATCAAATCAACTTTAACGGTAAAATTTCATTTTTGGTCCATTATATTGGCCATTTTCCAGAAATGGTCCAGTAATTTGGCGGACATCAAACTTGATACAATAAGTTATAAAATTCATCATTTTTGGTCCATTAATCACTCAGGCTGGATAACGAGCCTACGTGGCGGACATCAAACTTGTCCACGTATTCGCCCCGATAAACTGCCACGTAGGCTTATGAACTAAAAATGATGAATTTTACAACTTCTTGTGTCAAGTTTGATGTCTGCCAAATTAGTGGACTATTTCTGGAAAATGACCAATATAATGGACCAAAAATGAAATTTTACCCAACTTTAACTATTTTATTTTAAATACTATTTTAATATAACAACTAACCATACCACTTTTTCTTAAACTTAACTATAATTAAAAAATTCTAAATTTTTTACTATTCAAAACATAAACAATCACCCCGGACAAACCCAAAAATTTAACTATTGATTATTTTTATTTTTATTGTATTTAATTTTTATTATTTCTTTGCTATAACTTTTCTTTACTTTGTTTAATGCATTTCACCAAAAATAAATTTGCTCATTCATTTATTCGTTTCAACTTGATGAAGTAAAAGTAGCTGGGTAAGACTGCAGTTTCGTTACGAAATCATTCCGTTGGTATTTGTAACCGTTAGATGCATATTTATATTAGTTATCATGTGCATCTAACGGTTATAAATCCCAACAGAATGGTTCCCTAACTGAATTGTAGTATTTTCCAAAGTAGCTAACTATGACATTTTCACATATTTACAATCTCGTTATTTTATTAAATAAAATTATATATTCTCGTATTAGAATATAATATTATTCATAAAAAATTATTTAAAATAAGCATGGCATTTTACAGTATAGGTGTGAATGAGATGTTTAAAACTTGTAGCTGTTAGGAAATATTTTATTTCCTATGTATAATCTAATTATGGGCAACATATTATAT